CCTTCATTGAATGCTTCATTTCGTTATGCATGTCTAGCTCATTTCTCCCAAAGTAATATTCTTCATTACCTGGAACTCAGCAAGGCCATACTTGCTGCCCTCGCGGCCCAGACCAGACTCCTTGACACCACCAAAAGGCGCCTCTGCGGCACTGATCTTCCCGGTGTTAACCCCCACCATCCCAACCTCAAGCTGAGTAGCTGCAGCCCAAATCGTCTTCAAGTTATTGGAGAAGAAGTAGCCCGCCAAGCCAAACTCCGTGTCGTTGGCAAGCTCAATGACCTCTTCCAGAGTGTCGAAAGCAAAGACAGGTGCTAAGGGCCCAAAAGTTTCATCGCGAGCAACTGCCATGGCGGCAGTGACGCCAGTGAGCAACGCAGGCTCGATGAAGTTGCTCCCGAGGCCGAGATCCTCTCTTGTCTGACCGCCCCAAATCAACTTGGCGCCCTTCGACACGGCGTCGTCAATGTGACTTTTGACCTTGTCAACCGCAGCGCGGTTGATGAGTGGACCGTGTGTCACTGTCGGATCCATGCCAGATCCAACCTTGAACGACTTCATACGCTCAAGAAGTGCATCGATGAATGCATCGTGTATACCCTTCTGCACATAAAGACGGTTTGCGCACACACAGGTCTGACCAGAGCAGCGAAACTTGCACGCCAAGACGCCGTCCACAGCCTTGGATATGTCTGCATCATCGAAGACAATGTAAGGCGCATTGCCTCCAAGTTCCATCGACACCTTCTTCATTGTACCAGCAGCCTCTTTGGTGATGAGCTTACCGACACCTGTAGATCCAGTGAAGCTGACCTTCTTGATGATGGGGTTGGTGTACAGCTCAGCAACCGCTGATCTGTCCCGCGTTGGCACGACCTGAATGACATTGGGGGGAAACCCAGCTTCCACCGCCAAGTGTGCGAGAGCTAGAGCGCAGAGTGGGGTCTCGGTCGGAGGCTTGATGACACATGTGCAGCCGGCAGCGAGTGCTGGGCCGAGCTTTCTCGTGATCATGGCAATTGGGAAGTTCCAGGGAGCAATGATGGCACAGACGCCGATCGGTTGTCGGATAACAAAGTTGGTGCTGCCCGCATGCTGAGATGGAATAATATCACCATAATTTCGGATCGCCTCCTCCGCGAACCAGGTGATGAAGCTTGCGCCGTACTCGACCTCGCCTTGAGCTTCCGCGAGCGTTTTGCCGTTTTCCAACGTGAGTATGACAGCAAGATCTTTAGCGTGTTGTCGAATGAGTGCTGCGTACTTGTGGAGCAATTTGGATCGATCGTGCTCCTTGGTGTGTCTAAAATCCCTGAATGCAGCATTGGCGTGATTGATGGCGCGTTCAAAATCGCCCTTTGTCATGTTGGCGATGTTAGCGATGACGCCGTCTGTTGCCGGATCGTATACAGCAAATGTTTCGGATCCTGAGACCCATTCTCCGCCGATAAAGGCATCCTCTCGTATTAGAGAATGATCGCTAACAGCTGATTTCAGCGTCGTTGGGTGAAGTTGAGCGGCGCCACCCATTTTGATTCAGGAACGACTGTTTGATGCTTGATAATACTTGAACAGGAATAGGATATATAGCGCAGCGCAATGGATGGGAGAGGTTCAGAAGAGCAAAATCATTGGGAGGTTGTGATCTGAGCCCAGCGCATCAAACTCCCCATAATTGCTTTATAGTGTTGAATGTGAAGCCGGAACAGTGTCAACGACACTTCCGGTCCCGGCTAGCAACCCGGTTGAATGCCGGTCAACGCGCGCCGCCGGCTATGCCACCAGCACCGGCATCACATTTCAGGTTAACCGGCATTCCATTTCCGACCGGAATCAATCCACTCTGGGATAGGCTAACTACCACACTAAGCGAAGCCTCATGTTCCACAATCAACCCTCAAAGTCCCGTACATAGCAAGTGCCATTTGCCGTGAATTGCCGGTTTCGTGGCTGGACTACCATTGCCAGTTGTATTGACGGGTGGTATCTAGCCTGCCTGCCTCAAAATTGAAATTGGAATAACGGCGAGCTGGACGCGTTTGCATCGATACTCCTCGTTCAGTAAACGTCATAGCCGGCCAGTCGCACGTGCCAGATTGCGTGGTCACTATGCAATAGTATGACGAGAGTGATGATGAAAAGTCGAGGCAACAAAGGTTGAGTAGAGCGTGTGTCAATCAGACTTCTCGCTTCGCCATTCACTGAGGATTGGTATCGTTGCCGCTCAGACAGCACGTGACAGCATGATTGGATTTAAAATGACCATGGGGTGACTTATTTGACCTCTACGAAAGAGCACCTCGATCTAGATCTCTATCCCTTGACTTGGCTAATCAGAGACCGTAGTGGCTGAGGCAGGGATTCCATGGTTGCGAATGCTTTGCCTGCAACTGCACCAAGTATGACAGTGCTAAGCAGAGTCGTGGACGCCAGAACATGTCTTCCCAGCTTCCGCACTGGCCAAAATACGGAGCCCCCTGTCATGGAAAAGTCGGCCCACCTCGGGAAGTAAGGTGCTTTCCAGAACGTGGCGGCTAGGCCAGGCCAGGCTGCCGAATTGCGACCAGCAGAGTTGATGTACCAATTGCTACACCCTGCAACGAAAACGGTCTCGGCCAAGACACTATCAAGATCTCTGACGAAGGTCTCCTCAGCCTCCGAACTGACTTCAATTGTCGAAGCGTACCCGTCGATGATAGGCTTCATTAGAACATTGGCAATGTAATCCACTTGCACCTCAATTGAGTATATGACAGAATTGAAGGCTGGAAATGTATTCGGGCCGAAGCTGTTAAGATTGCCGTCAGAAATGTCTCGCTAAATTCAGAAGGGAAGCCTGTGAACTTACAGGATAGCAAAGTTGGGGTGGTTGTGCACAAAAGTGCCCATGTAAGCCTGAGCTCCACGATGTTCTTCCCACTGCTCATGCAGAGACTAGCCATGTCGGCCCATGATCTTCATGGGTGCTAGAAAAGATGACAAATTGAATCCAGTGGCTAATACCACGGCATCGAAGTCCTCGGCGACACCATCTTCGCTAACGAGGCCTGTCTCTGTGAATTCTCGTTTACCCTGTGCTAGAAGTTCCACATTGTCGCGGCGGAGAGACGCCAAATAGCCCGGGTCGTAAATACGTCGCTTGCAACCCAGCGGGAACTTGGGTACAATGAAGTCATGATACCTCTCTGGCGCCTCACTGAGGATAGACCGCCTTGCCTCATCTTCCAGTTGCAGCCTTGCACTGACCTGGCTTGCGTTTGAACCGTAGACGGAGGCGAGCTGATTCGTCTTGAGGAAGAGGTCTAAACGATGCCATCGCTGCCACAAAGGGATGTACTTGAAACAGAACTTCTCCCATGGTGTGAAAAGTTTATTTGGCCGTGGATGATACCATTGAGGACTGCGAGCATATTGCGTGATCTTCTTGACGGAAGGGGCAATGGCCGGCACCACCTGTGCGGCACTACAACCGTTGCCGATGACAGCGATCCGTTTGTTGGTGTAATCGAATGAGTGGTTCCATTCAGCTGTGTGAATAATGTGTCCTTTGAACTTGCTGAGGCTTGAGAATCGAGCCTCTCGCGGAACGGCGAACCCTCCCACGGCCGACAGCAATATATCACATTGTTCCGTGAACTGCTGGCCCGAGTTGACGTCGCGGAACCTGACCTTCCAAGCACCCTGAATCCACTCGGCGCCTAGACATTCGATACTAAAACAAAAGTGTTTGCGCAAGTGGAACTTATCAACTGTTGACTCAATGTCTGTAGAAATCACGTCAATCACTAGTCTTACGCAGCACGGGAGAATCCCACCGGCTATGACTTACACTCCAGTATGTCCTCTTGATCAGCCAAAGCCTGTGTCCAGTTCGGATTCAAATTGAAGCTGAAGGAGTAAAGATGAATTGGCACATCTGAACCGCTGGGAAGTTCAGCAACGTCATTGTCAAGGCAACCGGCGGTCGTGAAACTCACCATCCGGGGTAGGTGTTTGCGATCCATGTGCCGCCTGGGCCGTCGCGCTTCTCATAGATCTGTGTCCTTATCCTGGGTGAGATGAACAGACTGGACGTGGGGATTTGAGCAGCCCTTATGGCAGTTGGAAAAGAGATTGGCCACTCTGCTGCATCGGTAGGCAAACACTGATCTACTCCCATACTGCGAAAAGCTGGCTCCGTCAATCGGTTCCAGATTGCTGGCGAGGGAAGTTAAATCAGATGCCGAAGTGTCTCTCAATGTTCAGTCAAGTATTGACCACAACCGAACTGATCAACGTCTTGATTTCTTCGGGATTCTGAATCCGAGCGATTCCAGCCGCATGGCCACTCGCATGCCTCTTCGACCCAAGACCATAACACTGTCTGGCCTTTCCCCGCCTACCAGCTCTCCAACTTCGTTTTTGTCGTCGCGTTGAAGAAACCCCATAATTCATTCGAACAGACTGGAGTTTCCTGATTGCTACCTGATTGCGAGGATCGAGAAGTCGCAATACCTTTCAGCATCATGGGCAGTAAGAAGCATGTCAACAGTGCTTGTCTCAACTGTAAGCGACGCAAGGTCGAGGTCAGAAGTTGCAACCGTGCTGTGTGAGCATGACTTAGCTGGAACTGACAATATCTCAACTACAGTGCGATGGCACAAAGACGTGTTCAAACTGTTCCACCGCACAGCTCGACTGCGTTTACAATGCCGAATCTGATATGAGAAAGTGCGTATATCCATCATGTTACAAATACATCTGGATTCCTAACTTGATAATGCCAGAATCTCAGCCAAAAGAGTCATCCTCGATTTGAGGTTGCGGGTTGCCGAACTCGAGGGTGTCCTCCGCGACAACAACACGGAACGACCACAGGCTTCGTCGCCTGACACCTCGGAAGCGACCACGGCGGATTCGAGGACAATGTCAACCACATACTCTCATGATATCGCACCGGCCCCGCTACCGTAAAGCCATAGCTCGCCCAACATTGAGGGTTCACGCGGGCCAGTCCCCCCTGAGCACAGCACCCACTCCATATCTACTGGATCGCCCCTACCCATGTCTCCCTCCCAACATAACGCGGCGACTACATTTGCGGAGTCATCAACAGCTATGGAAGGAGAGCTCGCAGATTTCGGCATTCCACAACTTGGCCATTACAATAGCTCAACGTTCATGTACCTTGGTGCGACTAACAGCCCACCCCTACAGACCTTCGAAGACATGATTCCCGACGTCGAAAGTCTTGCAGATACAACAGACACCGAAGGTGACATCACCGACATTTTAGAAGCACGTGTGGGAGCGCTACAAATCACAGAAGATGGTCAATCGCGGTATTATTGCCCAACTTCCAACCTTCATGTTCATCCAAATGGGTTTCAGTCGCTTTCCTGGTCAACGATTCGCCATGTTGAGACCGAGGGCCAAGGTGTTTTGCAGCGCTTAGGCTTGGACCGCGAAGTTTCCGGACAAAACCAGATGCACCTGGCAAAGCTTTATTTTGCGTGGGAGGATCCAGTCATCCATGTCGTTGATGAGGATGTTTTCTTGAGGAGAAGAACAACGCCACTCTGCACGGCAATAGCAGCCCCTACTACTCGGAAACGCTCAATAACGCAATGTAGGTTGGGCTGATCCCTTGCGTATTTCCCAATTAACCCTTTTGATGCTTATCATACCATTAGATGTGCAATTGGAGCAAATCTAGCCGGAAATCAAGACCTCAACCTGCACGAACCTGCGTCAGAATTCTTCTCTGCGCGAGCCAAGGCACTCTTTGCCACAATGAGAGGAAATACCCCGACGGTGGCTACGATTGAGGCTCTTGTTATTATGAGTGCGTCAGAGGCTGCATTCACCGTTATGCTCGAGGATGACTTTATAGTGGTGTGTATCATCTGGTGGACATTACTCTGCTCCTCTGTAAGCGATGGAGCACCCGCTGACACTATTCCCCCCAGGCATGGTAGCACGACTCAGTGCGGATCTTGGCTTGCATATCGATGTCTCGAAACATAAGTTGACAGGTCTACTAATGGATCGCGATTTGAAGATCAGGGCGATTGCGTTTTGGGGGGTTCTCGTTCATGAGCAGTAAGACAGCATAATACACCCTCTGGATGCAAAGACAACTGCTCGAAAAGCATGTGGAGTATGTACGTCGGCAGACCTTGGGTATGGGGATCAGGAACATCACAACGCCCTGGCTGTGGGAGTACGCCGAGACCGGTAAACTTGGAGACCATACCCGCGTGCTGTTGGCCAGTCCGACATACCTGAGCCCGGGCTCGCATTCCCACTCGAGCAGTGTACAGATGCCAATACTTATCTTCGCGAGATCATGAGGACAACCAACGCTACCCTGTTAGTCCACGCTAGGTCCAGTCTTATTGATATGTTTCCGAACTTCTGACCAACTTGATATAGGTACTCAGGTCGCCGGCTGGACGCAAAAGCCTTTGCCGAGTTTCGTTTCCAAACTAAGCAAGGACTGAAGAGCTGGCATAACGGCTTAGATCCTGCGCTTAGACTCGAGACGTCTGGGCAAACGCATCCTGTAGTTCCTGCAGTTCTGCAACTTCAGTATGCCATAGTCTTCCCTCAACTTCAGGCGAAGCTGTTTGGAGGCTCTGTATGCTAATGATTATTAGCATGCAATTCCACGCTACCATGATAGCACTCTACCGCCCTTGCATGTCGAGCAGCCTTGTTCACAACAGCGACGATGGGCCAACGCTCCGAGACCAAGTCGCTTTGAGTGACGCAATTGCTGGATGTGTAGCAGCTGCCCACAAAGTGGCCGACATTCTTCGACGCTACCAAAAGGAGCATTCATTGCGCCGGACAAATATTCAGATCGTACACATCATATTCACAGCTTCGCTTGTGTTCATCCACGATGTTTGTACTATGACAGATTACAGCTCTCGGGCATCCTTGAATGATCTTCAGCTGTGCTGTCATGCTCTTGGTGAGATTGGACATGCCTACGGGAATGCAACCCGGGCTCTTGAGGTTGTAATTATCGTCAAGAGCGAGTGGCAGCGATTAGCCACCTCGATGGAAACGGGTGGAGGTTTAAAGCGGCGATGCGCAAGCATGACAATTCCCTACTCTCTTTCTTCAAAGCATGATAATACTTTGGACCGAACCAAGCGACGCAGCAGGGGGTCAGTCTCGGCAAGTACCACCTCATACGATCGTTCATCATACCTGCCCCGTCTTTCAGCGCATTTCAAATGCTGTGCGATAACTTCACAGGACAATCAATCGACATGACCATGCCTCCCTCCTGGCCAATATCATCAGTTTCAACCTTTCCATTCGGCGACTTGATGGATCCAATGGGGTGGCCTCATACACACGAGCAGACAGCTTTCCTTACAGGTCGAAATGAGAATGGTACGCCAACTGCTACGTTGCAAGACGCGGATGTCAGTCTTGAAACTTCCTCGGTCAACTACAACACCACAGCGGAGACAGCAGTCGGTGATGCTTTATTGCAAGTCTCAGGGCAAGAGCTCGAGGGGCAGGTAGTAATAAATTGTACACATAGCACAGTCTAATCCAAATATCAGCCTCTGTATTTTTATCATTTATTTGTGATGTATCATGTGGATCAGGTGAAGTGCCAAAATATTTTGCCAAAATATTTTTGTAGTATGGAATTTACTTCTAATGAACGCGTATGATCTCCTAGCGTACTCAACACAGCTTGGCACAGAGTCTTAGGAGAGTATACAATGATAGAAAGATCATTTCATGTCACTGTTGGGTCTAATGTGACAAGTGATGCTGACCTCTCGATCGGCAAGGAATCATACGGAGGCTATGTGGATTCTCATGCAGTCAGCCATTTCATTGCGCCAACGAGGCTATGTAACCAGAGCCATTCATCTCTCTGAATGATCCGATCAGCGTACCAAGGTACAGAGAAGTTCGGTCAAAAATGCTCCACGCAACCCTAGACACGTTTTCGCCAGCTTGTGACTTCCCAGGAATTTCTTTGCACGATGTGATTTATATCTCGCTCCAAAGGGCTCTAGCAAAGGGGTCAAATCAATTTTCTGCAGCTCCGACAACACGCAATATTCCGCAGAAATCGTATCATCTCTTCATATAAAGATTTGATGCTGGCTAAAGCGACATCGGCCTCGGCCGGCTCGCCGCAGTGACAAGCCAGAAATTTGGATTAACAAGATTTATCTATAGCTCTTATAGGTGCCTACTATGAAAGCTCGGCGCCGCCTTGGCTGGTAATATGACGTGGATGACATATTGGCTTCCACGACTTGGGTCCTTACGAGCCAGGACCCTTGCCGCGGTGCCTGACCGATGGCGTACCTGATCACAGGAATTGAAAGTACTCGTAGTGAATAACTTACGACATAGTCCATGATATGGGCATGTGCGAATAACGTCAGCAACAGTCCCTTAGAGAACCTACACTGCACGAGCTCACTGATGGAAAATGGGTCAGAGATGTGGTGACGGACATTATCACCCCATTTCCTTTCCAAGGCCAACCTCTTGTGGTCATTCGTATCTGGAAGATTATCGGCGGTTGGAGATATTGCTGGACTCGGGGATGAAAGGCCTTGATATCACACGATTCACATCACAATACCGCCTCCGACCCCGGCCGAAACGGCTGCAAGACATGACGCCGACTTTCTATTTGAGCAGCAAGTAACTTCAATGGCGGTTTCTTAAACGTACTGGCCAACTTTGATTTGATTTTCCTGATCAAGAGCCTGAGTGAAAATTACCGAGCATGTCTGGATGTCTCCATCGTGGCCTCTGAACGCCAAGATATGCCAACCCTCTAACAGCTGTCTGCCCAATTTTCATCGTCTCTCTATCGTCGCATATAAAGCACGACATATCATGGGATCTTGCATTATGAGAGCTATGCGCGTCCCTCAAAAAGTACATGTGAGGCCTACGGCCACTGGATGACTCCACGACTCATTCTGGCATACTCGACTACATGCGTCCTTTGACCAATATTATGGTCAAGGCGGTGTATTACGTCCAATAGTGCTGCCTGGGGACAAAATATTAGCATACTAACCGTCGACATCATGTATGTATCGATATATTTTGTATTGGATGGTTTGCGTAACGTTGAATGATCACGTTTTCCACTAGGCATCATCATGATCAGCACGTAATGATGCTCACTCATGAATTTCAATGCTGCTCTAAAAGCTCTCTAGGCACCCTCTTTTATCTACCATGTACTCACATGATATCATTAACAGAATACTTATCTTCATTCCATGCCCATGAACAAGGATTGATTATGGAACATAACAAGCAATACATCAGTCGTGTGCTGTTAACCTCAAGTCGGCCCACTATCGCCATTTGCCGATGCCACACAATAAGGCCTGTGACGATCACCAAAACTATTCGTAACTTGGGGGCCTGCACCATGTACAACCTCACGACTGCCAAACACGAATACCAGGACCGTTGAATCCGCTGTGAACACCAAGAGTCTCGGCATGCAGACCAATGGGTCTGTTATTCGATCAAAACCCGCAGTGAAAGCTTTTGATGGTCCAGGAAGGCCGATCACGGCGACCGAGGCTTACATATAAGGTCTATGACTTTTTTTAACATTTCGTTCTCATTAGGTCTTTGTTGAAACAAAGACGACGATAGACAACCTTCCTCGAACCATCAAGATGTCCGATATTGAGAAGAATCGCCCCCCTCTTTCGGACTCATCCGATCGAAGCGACAAACAATCTGAAGCCGCGGAGAACAAGACGACAGAGCAGTCACAGGAAGAGATTGACCAGGCCCGTGAGCGTATTATTCGAGAACATCGTACTGAGTTGGAGCAGCAGGGTGAGGGCTTGGTTCAACAAGAGATCCCCATTCTTCCTCTCACCCAGTTTTTCGGAAAGAAAGATTTTGATATCGATGCAATTGCGACTCAACCTTCTGTGTATGATAGCCCTGCTGCTGCTGCCTACTTCAAGCCCCATGACAGCTATGAACACCGGCATCGGTTCGATCCGGCTTGCAGATGAACATGGAAGGAGGAACTACCCCTCATCAACAAGATGGACCTTAAGAGTATGTGTCCAGCGTTCTTTGCAGACCGATACTCAACAGATAGATGCTCAACAGTCTCCTTTACAGTCACGGTGTGGGGCTTGTGTTGCCTTCTTCGGTCTAGACCTCGGTCGTGGCAACCTTTCGCAAGCCAACACATGACTTTCTACCAGATCTTGGAATGGACACCAACGGTACGCTTAGTAACACACGTCGCCCATGCCACATCCAAAGAACCATGCACTAATGACTGTAGACTACAACCTTGGGAAATACAGTGTATCAAATTTCTTTCCTATTCGCTGAACTGCCCTCTCAGATGATCAGCAAGAAATTGGGCCCGGACCGCTGGATCCCCTTCATCATGTGCTCATGGAGCCTCGTCTCAGGAGCTCAATTCTTCCTCAGCGGTAGGACCAGTTTTCTTGTCACACGCGCTATCCTCGGCGTTCTGCAAGGCAGCCTCATTCCTGACATCGTACTTTACCTTACCTACTTCTTCAAGGGCAACGAGCTGCCGTTCAGGTTGGCAATGTTTTGGTGCGTGCGACGAATCACGGATATTATCGCGCCTATCATTGCTTTTGGTGTTCTTCGCATGCGAGGCGTTCTCGGATATGAAGGATGGAGATGGCTTTTCCTGATCGGGGGATCATCATGCTGTCCATCGGCATATGGTCTATTCTCAAGATGGCCCCCTCGCCTACACAAACTAAGCGGCCTTAGCGGCCAAAGGGCTGGTTCAACGAACGAGAGGAGAAGATCCTCGTCAACAGGATCCTACGTGATGACCCCTCCAAGTGCGACATGCACAACCGGCAGGCCATCAACCTCAAGATGTTTTGGCACTCTCTTTGCGACTACGAGCTTTGGCCCATCTACATCTTTGGCCTTCTCTGGGAGATTCCCGCCGGTCCGCCTGACCAGTACCTTACCCTCACCCTTCGAAATCTTGGCTTCGGCACCTTTGATGCCAACTTGCTCAGCATTCCTTGCCAATTCATTGGTGCCGTTATGATGTGCATCATGACCTATCTGTCAACAAGATGGAACGAGCGTGATCTTTTTGGTATTTTTACACAGTTTTGGTATCTCCCGAACTTGATTGCGCTCGCTATTCTGCCTTCTACAGCTGGTCCATGTGCGCAATTCGCGATTGTCACATTCTTGCTATCCTATCCGTCTCGTGAGTCTTGATCATCCGTGCGCACCAAGATATCGCTGACATGTATACAGCACATGCCATGCACGTCGCATGGGGAAGCCGAAACTCCAATTCTGTGCGCACTCGGGCTGTATCTGCAGTCCTTTACAAGTATGCCAGCTCTCCAGGGTGGAGCCTCCCGTGCGTAGAGGAGCGCTTTACACTGACATATCCTTAGCATGATGGTCCAGCTTGCTCGAGTGATTTACTCGAACATCTACCGTGAAGATGATCGGCCTGAATGTAGGTCATCGCCATGATTGGTGGCTTGAGTAGTGCAGCTAATGAATTCATAGATCGCCGGGGCAATCGCGTTCTTGTAGCCATTGCTTGCATGAACATCTGCGTCTACATTGTAGCAAAGGGCTTCTATATCTACAAGAATAGATCACGCGAGAAGAAGTGGCAAGCGATGACTGAAGACGTGCGTTAAGCCCTAGAGTGTCCTGTTAAGAGTTCGAGAGGAAATCACAGGCTAACGACGACGGAATAGGAATGGAATCACTACCTCGATACAACCAAGGATAAAGGAAGCTCGAAACTAGACTTCCGGTTCGTACATTGAGTTAACCATTCGCTGGCTCGACGAATTATGCATGATTCCACCAAGTCAAGCACACGCAGAAACTCTGCAGACATCCGCTGTAAAGTCAGTAACAGAAATATATTAGGCAGAGATCGAAATACAAAATTGACTGAACTACTTGTGAAATACTCAAAGCCATCGGTGTAGCAGGTCTCAGAACTTCTCTGCTCACCGAGGATGGAGTGACCGGTGCTTTGTCAAAAGGACGGCTGTGCCAAGTATCTCTTTCAGCAAGCGTTGATAATCCCAGCCTAGGCCGCCTGCTGCTAGAAGGGATAAGCACGCCTGATCCTCTCGGCCCGGCCGGCCGGGGCCGGTTATGTTCTATAGATGTTAGCCTGGGGCACTATCAATCCAGACTTCCAGCGGTAATGGTGTTCTGTGGACTCACAGGTTTCATGTTGACGTCGAATATCACAAATCTCGGGTCCGAAGGGCCGTAGCGTCTGACGTCAATCCGGATTGCGCCCGTAACACCAAGAACTCGGGCGACATTCTCGCACTCCCTAGAGATTACCTCATATGCCGGGTCGTCTGACCCGACAACAGCCCTCGAGTTCGTGGAAACGGCAACAGTGCCATTGTACGGAGCGATACCATCTTGGTGGTTGAAGCGCGTGACAACCGGCAGGGCCAGGTAGCCCAGCCTGTCAAGGCTCGGCGGCATGACTGTGACTGTCGCTTCCTCGCCAGCGAGATATTCTTCAACCATGACCAGGTTGAGGCCCTCAGACCTCAGCGATTCAGCGTGCGAGATGAGCTCCGAAGCGTCTTTGCAGACTTTGACGCCGTAGCTGCCGCGGCCGCGGGCGGGCTTGACAACAAGGGGATAGATGCAATCATCAATGTCGCTGAGGGTGATGGGGCCCGACGGCAGCGACCATGCCCGCGGCATGGTGAAGCCCCCGAGTCGGCGCAGGAGATCATTGACGTAGTCCTTGTTGTCGTACTTCTCGACGAGCAAAGGGCCCTGACCAACGACACGCAGGTAATTCTGGTGCTTGCCGACCTTGGTAGATACTTGAATTGGATGCGAGGCAAACAGAATCGTGTTAGCCCAAAGATGAGTGGCACCACGCTCAATGGCCTGCAAAATTCCTTCTTCGGTGTCAGGGAAGCACCATCCAGCGTGCTGTTCAGGGACTGGGTCAGAGGACTGAGTGATGACCTCAACCTCATCTGAGAGACTCAGGGCATATCCAATATCTGCTCCGGAATCCTGGTAGCCTGTGATTCTGTTAGTATGCTTTAGGCCTCCAGTTATCTCAGGTGACTAAGTTAGGCACAGTGCCTACCACCAGGCTTCATAGGCTTGCGTGTCCCGTCGATGACGGGAGGCTCCGTGGTCTGATATAGAACAGCCACACGGGGCTTAGCTCGCTGTTCATTTTCGACACTCATGCTGCGTTTGGTGTAATTGTTTCGTTTGAGCTCGAAAAGAATGTTCACAAGAAAGTCGGATTTGAGATGGTGTGAGCGACGGACATCGACGAGAGACTGTCTCTTGGCGCTCCGACAACAAATATTAATAATGGCATCAAGCCGCTTAATACACCCCTGGTTTCCCTTCGTTCTTTCGGCAAATCATGGTGAAAATGATTCTGTTGACTCACGATGGTCGTCACGTCGGTGTGAGTTTCGGTTTCCGAGTAGACCAACGTGCCGGTCCGACCGATTGTGGAGACCGATGTCGGAGTTATGTTGTTATGCAGTCTGTACGACGACCGCCAGCGACACGGAAGCACATAGCATGCTCGCCCTTGTTCGGCGAGACCCATGAGGCTCCCTGTCCGATACGGAGACGGGCATCGCCAAACCTCACCTTAGCAGACTGATACCGAGCGCGGTGCTCCATGTCCGGCTCCACCTACTCTTCGGGGATGGGTCTGCTCCGAGGACGGCGCGGGGTTGGCCGCAGTTAGCCGGGACACATGACCCAATCGAGCCTCGCTAAACGGGGCTTCATCATCGAGTTGCGGAGGGGTTCAGGCTGGCAACTCACTAGTCCGTGCTTGCTGAGGCAATTCGACAGCGAGA